ACCCTAATGACAACTCATGTAAACTGACTGCTCCGCACTTTGGCGGTGAAATGAAGAAGCTAAATAGTGTAGAAGCTAAACTTGTATAACCTGTCAGTTTGTATTGGTGACCATTGGACGCCGCAAATTGAATAATTATTTTAAAGGCTACGTGTAATGATATTGTATTGGGAAGTATATGGTTATAAGTGATAATATATCTACCTGGTCGTTGTGAAAAGATATATATAAATTTGGTGTTTGAGTGTACAGTTCATAATACAAATTTCAGTAAATGTTCATTTTGTGCAAATAAGAATAAGTGTTCTAATACATTAAATTGTGCGTTATAAATAGTGGATCACTTTTTTTATTTTCACTTCATGATAAACATTTAAATTGCTTGCAACAAGACTTTCTGTCACACGTTCTGTGTACGTATGAACTGTAAAAAGAAAGGGAGAGAGAACGCATGGCAGGATGTCTTACTGCAAGAAATTTAAATGTTAAAGATGAAGCGAGAAATGAAAGAAAGAAATCAACTATTTGTAACGCACAATTTATTGTATTAGAATACAGTTCATACGTTCACAGGACGCATGACAGAAAGTCTCGTAACAAATTTAAATAATGAGAAAATTAACAGAGATCCACTATTTGTAATAAATAATTTATTGTATTACAATAATATAGAAAAAGAAAGGTCAGACTTAGTCCTTTAAGTTCTCAAAAGTATGCACGACACATGACAGAAGGTCTTGTTGCAAGAAATTGAAATGTTACTGATAAAGTGATTTTTGAAGTTTTTCATTTATTACACGACACCAATATGCGCCAATTGAACGCTGGGATTTATCACAAAATGAATGTCGCTGATCCACGTGAAATATATACAGCTGCTGGTTTTCTAGAACAGCTCTCTAAAGATCAGCTGTAAACGAATTTGAATACTATATTTTCCAGATTACGTAATACAGCCCAATATTGGCAAAAACCGAGAAATTATTCAAACTGTATGATATACCATTATGGACCAGCTACATGGTTCCTCACGCTCAGTCCAGCTGAGTGGCTATGGTCAGATTTAATAGAATATCTTCGTGAAGTAAACGGGCAATCGATGGCTAAAATATCGCCGAACGAACTCATTGCTTCTGATCCCGTTTCAACTGCTCGATTTATAGATAATAAATTCCACGCTGTGCTGGACTTCATTTGTTCGCCCGACAATCCGATTGGGAAGGTCATTCATTACTTTTGGCGCAGAGAATATCAAAGCCGGGGATTACAACACTTTCATCTTTTAATTTGGATTGAAGATGCTCCTATAATCGACAAATCCTCGAAGGAAGAAGTAGCAGCATTCATTATGAAATACATCACTTGCAGATTGCCGTCACCGCATGTGTCGCCAGAATTATATAGGCGTCTTATTACACATCAAATCCATAAATGCAATAGTTACTGTCTACGCAACAAAAAAAACTAAAAATTCTTTCTGTAAAGTATGTAGATTTTCATTTCCACGTCCAGTTACAGAGACTATGACAATAAGGGATGTAGCTGTTTCTATAGGTGCTAGAAAACAATTGAAAGCAAAAGGTAGATTCCATGATCTTCCACGTTCGATAAAAGAAGTCCGTATCAATGATTTTAATCCTTCTGTTCTCATGGTTTGGATAGGTAACATGGATATACAATATATTGGGGAAAAGACGAGGATTGTATCATGTTACTGTACTGAGTACGTGTCAAAGCCTGAAAAAAGTTACGTTACGGACACTATGGCAGCAATAAATTCTACTAAGTCTTTGGCTAGTCTTCTGTGTAGTCTTGGAATGCGCATGCTAAATCATAGAGAATGTAGAGCGCCTGAATGCGCTGATATTCTTTTAAGATTAGCATTGTATGGCACTGACTCCAGTACTACTATTAGATGGTTAGATGTAAATATGTTGGCGCAGTGAGGAAGAAGACACATTAGTTAGAACTAATAAATAGGTTATATATTTGTTGCTTATACATAGTTGTGAAAGGTATATATATATTATAGGTAATTAACATGAGATCAACGTATAAATTTGTCACATTGCAACAAGCGGCGCACATAGCAAGCAAGCATGCCCGAACAGACGTAGCGCCGCCTAACGGTGGGCCTCTGTAATACGTGTTTTTCATTTTATTGACGCGCGATAATAATAATTACTCTACAAAACATATTTAGAAGCAGAAAATTGAAAACTCGCAAAGAAATTGAGAATCTGGAAGGTGAATCCACAGACATATTTTGTCTATCCCTCATAGATGATTACTATACTAACAGACCTAAGGAATTAAAATCTATGCACCTGTACGATTTTGCTACGTGGTATGACATTACTAAAAATAGACCGTCTGAAAAAACTGAATATTATGAAAACCGTGCATCTATGTTTTGTTAAAAAAAGAAAAAGGGGGTATCTTATCAATCATTATAAGTACAATGTTCAAACCCAACCTGAGAATTACTATTTTTCACTATTATTATTATTCAAACCTTGGAGAAACACGAACGAATTGAAAAATGGATTGACACATATACGGAAGCTTTTTTATCATTAAAATCACAAATGACAAAAGCAGTTCAATATCACGAACGAATAACGGATATTCAACAAGCACGTGATCATATAAAGGAACAAATTGAAAAGAACGTGTTGAATACTGTAGAACTGGAAGGAAATGATCAAGACAATCACCCAGTAGAGTGTGTTCCCGTTGAAACTATTGGTGCTATGAAAGATTTTTAAGACGCAGGAAACAAATTTGACTGTGGTGATCTTGCAGAAATGATTTCGGAATTGAACCTTGATCAAAAGCGGATATTTGATAAAGTTACTAAGTCCTTGACGTCTAACAATGACATTCTCAGACTTTATGTGAGTGGATAAGGTGGCACTGGGAAAAGTTTTTTAATCAAAACTATTAGACACTGGATCAAACAGATTATGGGAAAAGACACAGCAGTAACTGCTCCTACTGGAATCGCAGCTTTTAATATTGAAGGTCTTACCATACACCGATTGTTTCAATTACCTGTAGAACATGGCCATACAGCCCAGTATAGACAACTTAGCGACGCAGCCCTTCAAATTGTACGAGATCAACTCAAAAATGTTGCTTTAGTAATCATCGATGAAATTTCGATGGTTTCTAACGTAACTTTCCTATACATACATTTGCGACTTGCAGAAATATTTGATACTACAGATTCCGGTGATGGTTGGTTCGGAAAAAAGCCTATGCTACTATTTGGTGACTTACTACAACTTCCTCCTGTTCATGAAGAACCTGCTTTTATACAATTATCAAATAAGGTTATGGAGAAAAATGTTGGAGGATTAGGTTCTTATAATTTATGGTCTGCCTTGTTTAGCTACGACGAATTGACAATAAATATGCGACAGCAGGGTGATAATGTTTACAAGGATATCTTGTCGAGAATTCGTACTGGAGTAGTGATCAATTCGGATACAAAGGTTTTACGATGAAGGAAATTAAATTTTAAAGCAACAAATTGTAATGACCGATTAAAGGAATTATGTGATTATATGCTTCATGTGGGATCTAATACGGTGTGTTTGCTTCCTACATGTGTTCAGTGTGATGTTTTGAACACTGCAATGTTAAGTCGATTTCCATCTGAAGAAATCCATTTGATTGCTCAAGATACAATGAATTGTGCACCGTACTTGAAAAAAAAGGTGTCGAAGGTACTAAACAATAATGACGATGATAGCTCCCGAACGGCGGGGCTATCAAGGATCATAATTGTTAAAGTAGGAGTGCAAATCATGATTAGAAGAAATATTGATGTTACACTAGGTCTTGTCAACGGTACCATTGCTAAACTTGTTTCAGTGACACGAGGTGTTGATAATGACGTAGAAAAATTGAAAATTATATTACCCACGAGGCAGGAACATATAATAGAACCTGTAAGTGTTAAATTTGTAAAGTAATAAAGTAATGGATAGAGCGTTCGTTGTTAGAAAACAATTACCGATTTGCCTCAGCTATGGTTTAACTATTCACAAAAGTCAAGGACTAAGCTTGCAAAATGCTGTCATAGAAGCAAGTAATTCAATATTTACTTGTGGGCAAATTTACGTTGCTCTTTCTCGGATGACCACATTACAAGGACTGCATCTTATCAATTATGATCCATCTTCCGTAAAGGCACAAGAATCGGCTATAATAGAGTACAATAGATTGCGAACAAAATATAGACCTGATCTTATGACTATTTCAATTTCTAAAAACCGTGTTCGCAATGTTCGTGATGCTGTTTGGGCAGTACCTAATTATAATGATGTATCTGAATGTCAGAGTACTAATGATTACACCGTGGATAACACTCAGTACTACGTAAGAGGTCTCCCGAATTCTGATGGTGTGTCTTGTTATGCGAATGCCACAATCCAATGCATGCTATATTGTTCATCCATAAGAGAAAACTTATTATCGACTGAAAAAGCTGAACATGTTATAAAAGCTTTTATGAACCAAAATAAATCGTCAAATCAAAATCCGAATGTATTATCATTACGGCAATTCCCGGGAGAAAAATACGCTTACAATCAGCTACACGATGCACCCGAGTTTATTATCTCTCTTTGTGATCGTGAGATTCTTATCAAAAGTGCAGTAGAACACGAAATAACAACGATATTAAGATGTGTAATGTGTAATCTGATTACACAAGTACTACTATCAGTTCAAATTGTGTAGTACACCTTGCACTGCCCCAGATGTTGAAAAAATCATTTCAATTTCAAGATGTAATAAAACACAATTTCAGAGGATGGATAAAACTGAAAGGTCCTTGCAATAATTATGATAGTTCAAATTCAAATATAATGAAGATACTGCAAACAGTATTAAAACAATGCAGGAGTCATGTAAGGCGATGATTAGAAGAATGGAAATAAGCTAGTAATAAGTTACGCCTTTTAAATAAGGGAATGAATAAAGTGACTGCTCCACACTCTGGCGGTGAAATGAAGAAACTAAATACTGTATCAGCTACAAACTGAGACTGTTTATTAGATATTTGCCTAGATGTCCGCGGTCTGGAAGTCAAATGCTTGGCGTGGTCAGGCAAGGCATTCTCAGATCATCAATATCCATACTTTCCCTCTCCCAAACTTTTACATAATTTGTCAATTTAAAACTCTGACAATATCAGTACATTTTCATTGTATTGCATTTTCAAATATTTCTTAGATATTATTTCTAAGGTCAAATTAAATTTTTAAATTGACAAATTATGTGAAAGTTTGGGAGACGGGAAGTATGGATATTGGTGATCTAAGAATGCCTTGCCTGGCCACGCCAAGCATTTGACTTCCAGACCGCGGACATCTAGGCAAATGTTTAATAAACAGTCTCAGTTTGTAGCTGATACAGTATTTAGTTTCTTCATTTCACCGCCAGAGTGCAGAGCAGTCACTTTATTCATTCACTTATTTAAAAGGCGTAACTTATTATACTATATACAAAATTATTGTACTACTCAACTAGTAATATTGCACTACTGCTTACTTATTACTAACTTATTTCCATTCTTCTAATCACCGCCTTACATGACTCCTGCATTGTTTTAATACTGTTTGCAGTATCTCTTACTTCTCATCTATTGGGGCCCGTTGGCCCCCCTCTAGCTCGGGTACCACGGGGTTGCTAAACCCGTACTATAGCTACAAAAATACCGCTAGTTGTCATTGCGATCTGAATGTTAGCACTGTTGAACACAGCATTTTAGCTGCACATACTTGGAAAGCACCGAATTTTACATTATGTTATACAGTGTCGCCTTTGCACTTTGCTAGAAAGCACCTTCATGTACTGGCAGGTCATTTCGATTTCACATCTTTTTCTGTTTTCTTGTAGTTCGTAATGGTACTGTATACTTCTTCCTTCAAGGATTCTGAATGCTCATCGTAGTAAGTAGTAGTATTCTGTTCCGCGCTGCGTATTACGTTTGTGTAGTGCGGTCACACTTCACCATCACGCGTGCTAATGTGAATGGGAATAGGGTGAGGGACCCTCGGCGCCGCTGCGGCGCCACGTAGAGTTGCTCCGCGCTATCGAGAATTTGGAAAACTTTAACAATTTTTTACGCGACAACGGTTCGTCTCTGGCATGTGGCTCCTTTGAAGCTTTTTACCTACTCCTCGAGTAGAATTTTTTAAAATAAAAAAAAAACTTTGACCTTAAATTTTGAGGTCATAATGGATTTTGCGGACGGTTTTTTTTGCAAATGTCCACCGATCCAGATGTGTACAATAACTCCTGAAAGTGGTGACCAATAATTTTTATACACTCTGCACACCCTGATTTCATTTGTAAAAATAAAGAAGTTTAATACAAATTACTTTTTGAGGTGATACTAATTGAATATAAAAACTGATACCTACATATCCTGAAAAATCCATTATTAATGTTTCCTATTTCCCATAAATATTTTAAAAGAAGCGTTTAAAAAATATTCGGATAATGTGAAATATATGTTTAGAAGATGCGTATTGAATATTCTGGTAATGTTGAGTAAATCTTGAAAATTAAGAGATTTAAAAAAAAATTAAATCAAATGTTATATTGTGTTTCATTTATTCATAGATTTTACTTTTATTACTTTATTTCTTGTGATTGGATTCCATTAAACAAGTTATTTTAATTTTTTTTACCTCGGTGGGAATTTGAATATCAAATATAGAAATATATTATTGTGAATATTAAATAAATATGTATTTTATATTTGGGAAAAAGTATTCCATTCTAAATATGGAATAGATATTCTTTTTATACTAAAGAAAGAAGGATTTTTTCTAAATCTAGAATAAAAATCATATGTATATTTAAATATTAAAATGAGATTCAATCTCTTTTATTGGATGAATCTGTATTCAATATTTTGTGCTACTAGGGTATGTGAACCTGACACCCAACTGCCAAAAAATTAACTTTTTTTTACAGAAAATGATCGCCTTGTGTCTTCCGAATTATTTAATCAAATTTTTTTCATATGTAAAGAAGGTAATGTAGAACAATATCTGCAAGTGAGAAGGCGTGACTCTCTCTCGTTTTCGAAAAATAAATTTTTAAAAATAGCTAAATTTCGATTGACGAGTGTCAAACATATAAGAGTAGGAGGTATTATAGAAGTAGCGTGGCATGGTCGATAGAGTACCATTTTGCGAAGACGATTTTTGCGCTGGAAGCGGTTCGATCCCGGTAGGAGTCACATTTTTTTTTACTTTTTCTTCCGTTTGTACCATGTTTTGTTATGGAAACTACATTTTTATATATTGTTACGTATGCACACTCGTTCTTTTCGAAGCTCGCGTTCATTTATTTTATCTACCCCTTGGAATGTGGAGTGTTGTCTTACTAAAGTGCACCCTGCAGCTGTACCATACTTTTCTCAGAATCATCTTTTAACTCACGTTGTGTGGGTAACCCTTTATCTAAACTTTCCGTAAAGCCCCACAGATGTTCACCTCTGAGTAACGAAAATCTCAACCGCCAAATTTCCATATATGGGAATCACTGACGTATCCCCACCAATATCTAGGGGTATATAAACCCATGATTTTCGTTACTCGCGGGATTAGTACGAAAGAGTTACTTGGTAAAGTCACATCGATCGTCTTCAGAGTTGCGCTTCAGTGAGATCGGGCTTCAGATCCCTTTCGATTGTTACGTATACAGAAACTCGCTGTTTGTTTCCGAAGCTCGCGTTCATCAATTTTATTTTATCTACCCTCCTGGAATTTGGAGCTCGGTCTCCCTGGAGTGCATCCTGCAGCTGCATACTCTTAACATCATCTTCGACTTGCGTTGCGTGGGAAGACTTCTTATCTACCCTTTCCCAGGGAACGCAGCTGCTCACCTCAGAGCCACGAAAATCCTAACCGTCAAATTTCCAAATATGGAAATCATCGACGGATCCCCAACAACATTTAGGGGTATATAAACCCACAATTTTCATTGCTCGGGGGATTAGAACGATAGAGTTACGTAGAGTCACATCACGTCCATCGTTGCAGAGTGTGCTTTAGTGAAATCGGGCTTCAGTTTCCCTTTCGATTAAGTTAACCTTATAGATCCGCGAAGACGGTTTTCATCTATTACGGCATTTAGAATCACACTCGACCCCTGCATCGCCAGTGCGTTAACACCGTGCAACAATTAGATAATTAAATTCAACGTTTACTACACACGACCGCGACAACACAACACTGCACATTTATAACTTAGTATAGTTATTCTGAATATATATATTCTTTTGTGTAAATTCAAAGTTTCCTAAGTCAATTACTAAACTTTCACGATATAACAAGCAATCCTAGCCTGTGTAACGATCCCACAACATAATAACTTTGCCGCTCGAGTTATTATTCAATTAAATTAATAAGTTGCGAGGCTTTATCCGCGACGCGTAGTATTCATCAACGATACGATTTAAGCTCAGTGTATTCAACCCGAATTCCCTAATTCAACCTATCCTGCGGTTACCCTTTACTGGGAGATACCGATTCCTGCTAACTATCTGACTTCGCGCCAGAGTCGCTGCACTTTTTCCAACAACTTCACATATGGAACCTTACCCTACGGTTACCCTTAACTGGGAGATACCGATTCCCAGCAACTATCTGACTTCGCGTCAGAGTCGTCTGCGATTTCTACTCCATCCTCAATCTTTGGATCTATTGAAATAAACAGGACTAATCGTATCTTCTTCGATTCTTGAATTCAACCCATTCGCAGGGCTCACACGCGCGTCACTATCACCCTGGCTCGTAACAGAACTGGTGACAGCGGTGGGATACACTAACTTCAAAAAAGTAAAAAAATTACGCCAAGTACATGAAAAAGTGGAGGACTTAAAGAGTAATCATAGAAAAATAGAAGATTCCCCTAAAAAAAATTCAAGAAAGTAAAAAAAGAAGTGAAATCGAAATGAGCTCCCAGTACATGAAGGTGTTTTCCAGCAAAGTGCAAAAGCGACGCTGTATAACACAATGAAAAATTCGGTGCTTTCCAACTATGCGCAACTAAAATACTGTGTTCAACAGTGCAGACGTTCAGACCCTAATGACAACTCATGTAAA